GCACGAGATCGGTAACATACAAGTAGCTTCTAGACTTATTCTCTTTGGCATGAGTGCACCAAGGTATAATATTAATTACCTTGTGATATATTACATCAAGAAGCTCTCGATATCTTTCAAACAATACAAATTGACAATCCACCATAAATATTTTACTAATAAGACCTATCGCGCGTTTTCGATGCTTTTTAACTTCGTGAACGCTAGGTTTTTCCGTTGCTTCAACTGCGAGCAAAGCGATTGCGGCACCGAGGAAGGTAGGTTGCCTTCCGCTTAAAATAAAAGCATCATTGGCGTATTTGAGGAGCTCCATGCATATCCCAGTAAAAACTACCCGATATATTTTTGTCATTTTTTCTAGAAATTCTTCGGATGTTGTGTTGTTCGGCAAATCTATTTCTCTACATTTTTCAAAAGCTTGTATATCTTCTTTCAGGTGACAAAGTTGTTTGATATCAGTGTATAACGGGAAATTGATTTTATGTAATTCATCATCAAACATTACACCAATTGACCTGATAATCAAATCCTCAACACTAACAAAGTTTGTAACATTTGGGGCAAATTTAGATCGAATCATAAACACAACATCACAAAGGCGATTCAGATTCAACTCCAAAGTGTACTGAAATATAATGTAAAAAATGTTACAATTTAGAGAAATAGAATAATAAAACTTATATAACAAATTCTAAACAATACCGCGATTTCTCTCAGAGTTCTCGGAATCTTTTCCTCTCTAAGAACTAACAAAGCGCAAGCAGCAATCACGTAATGTAATAGTTTTCCTTCCCCAATTATGAAATTTTTGTCAACAGCATTATAATATGCAATAACACGTGTCCTGAACTCTAAAAGTTCAAGTGTTGATAGCGTTTGGTCAAGTACAGGTTCGACCTGTAAATTAACAATATGGTTGTTAATTACAAGGAAAGCGGGCATATCTTATTAATCAACTCACTAGCTAATTTACATGTGGATTTTTCTTTTTAGATCCTGGATCTTGGGTTCCTCCGTCGATAGTTACACGTCTGAGTGCGCGACCACCATACAAGTCTATTAAAGTAAAAGATCGTGAAAATTAACTTAAGTATAACCCAGACTGTTAATTCAATGAAGTAACTACTTGCCAGTTATATCAGGGACGAATTCTTCTTCTCGCACAAAAGAGTCATTTAATACTATTCCACAATCTCTGCA